CACACAGCGCCCGGGGAAGTAATGTCGTATGCCTGCAATTGGGCTGTCAGAGGCGTGACGTGTGTCACCTTGCTAATCAGACCTGGGGGCTCAGTCCTGGGTCACTGAACAACCCAGTTCCCCTGTTCTATCGTGGGGTCATTTCTCAGGGGGAGGATCCATGCAAGGGGTATGGCCTCACAGAGGTAATCCAGGTTATGTTGTCTGTGTCTGACATATTTTAGCCGGTCCTTCATTTGGTCAGCAGTTTTCCATGCTCCCCGTAGGAAATCCCAAATATCCCCCACAGTAAAGACTCCTTTGCCTACCCACTGTCTCCAATGTGATCGGTTCAACAACTGAAATGGCTTCCCTTGATCATCACATATGAACGGGTTACCGAATAGTGGTTGCCTCACGATCTCATGCCATCTCAGGGGGGGGGGTATGCGTTGAGGTCCCATCTCTCTCCACAGTTTCAGCATGTTGGGCCACAGCGGGTTGTTGGAGATGTCTCTTCTTGTTTGGACCTGTTTGAGAGGGAGAGCTGTTGATGCGTTTGGTCTCGGGATCGGCCATGCTGGATTGGTCAACCATTGCAGCGGGTGAACTTGTTTTTCCAAAGGGGAGGCGGGAACAAGGTTTGCAATTTGGATGTGGGCATAAGGAGCCCATAAAATATCATTCCCTATCAACAAGCGGGTGATGATTTTAAAGGACAGCGCTTTTAGTTGGTCTTGCGGTTCCAAGATCGCCAACCCCCCTTTCGATCTCGGTTGGGCAATACTGTCCCACGCCACTCTGGACAGGAATGTGGGGTCCTCATGGTCATTTTTCCACACAGATGCAGTTGCAGCCCTTCTCAACCTCCAAAGTTGTTCAGGCGGGATCGGTCAGCATTCTTCTTTAGCTGAGAAGATCGCAGTGTTGAGGGTTAACGCCCTTCCCACTATCAAGGTATGCAGTCCCCTCCACCTAGCCATTCTTCTGAGGGCCTCCTCCACCAGGGAGGCTCCGTGGTCGAGCGGGGGGCCCAACGTTGTAAGCCGCACTCCCAGTATCCGTTGTCGACGCGAATACCCTTACAAGGGTATCCGCCCTGGTTTTTGCAAGTGACAAAAAATAGTTTTGGTCTAGAGTTTCAGTATACCGCGCTAAGCGCGGCTGCGTCAATAATTGCGTTGACTAGGTAGTTGACCACAATAGCGAGTGCGTGGGCGCGCAGGTTTAAGGCGCTCGTGATTCTTTTCTGTTGTTGATCGTAAAGCCGGTCTGGACCTCGGTCGTTTTGCTTGGTGATATTATTATTATTTATTTATTTTTGATTAAGCAAGAATTAAGGATATTTTCTTTTGATTGGTACATTTGACCGAGTCGAGTGCGCGTGCGGAGAACGACCCCGACGACGGCATCGGCAATAACGACGCGATTTCGTGCGGTGAGCAGGATGTCGTAGGATGCCGCGCGGGGGCAATTATGGCATGGTATAAGCAAGCTGGCGCGGGCACTGGGAGCTGCGCAGCAGGTTTGTTGGCCCAAAGCGCCGCGCCACACCGTGTTGTATGGTACTCTGCGGGCGCTGGTATCTGGCTTGGGCTTAGCCCTACAGGTTACGGCATTGGGTTGACGATACGGAGGTTCGGGGATCGAGGTTAGCGGGCATCGGCGCAGCAACCGCCGCGGAGCGTCGCGGAAGGGAATAATGGGGGTGAGGGCCCGGCGGGGCTACCCCCCTCTGGTTTTATGGATGGGCATGATCTGTAGGGACGCCCGTTAATTTTCCCGTTCTAGTTTTATTATTTTTTTTATCCTTTTAAATCCCCTCCTTATTTTTGTCTACTCGCGTTTCGCTCTGGGGCGCGATGTCGGGCCTAAGGCTGGATCACATACTCCTGAAGTGCAATTACAAACTGTTTTCGTAGTGCTGTGGGTGCGGCAGGCACCCACGAGCCTAGCCTAGTGAGGTACACCCATGAACTGTTGAAATACAAACCTCGCTCGATGCCGAATGGGCGGGACCCGGTACTCTGAATTGCCTGGGTCTGCCCAGGCTGCGGTCAGGCCGAGGGTGCCACCTCGAGGCTGTCGTGAGGCCTAAGTCCTTCTAGACATCCGCTAAGGCAGGGCACGACTGAGAAACAATGCGCTATGGGTGACGACCTGCATTACGGGTAGCAGAGAGGGACCGAGTGAAGCGTTGTGCCAACACGAGAAACAGACGAATCTAGCCCAGTACTGCGCCGGATGCTTACAGGGTTAGGACAAAGAAACGGAGAGGGGCCGCGGCATACCGATGTGCCAATCGGTTGTTGGATTACCACCCTACCCCAAATAGAACACCTGGTCACTTTGTCTGTATTTGGCCCAACCGTCAGTCCAAAGGCAGCGGAAATGACAGTGCGTTATATTCGGGTGAAGGCGGTAGGTATAGGGGCAAAGACTAATCAAACCGTCCAGTATCTGGTTCCCCCCGAAGGGCGCTCAGGCCGGCTGGCTGTCGGGCAGGCGCTGGTCAGTGTAAAGTCCTTCAGGACATCTATTAAGATTGGAACGATACAGGGCAGGATGGCATGGGCCGCGGCACCGGTAACAAGTATAAAACAAGGGCAGGTCGACAGCCAAAGTTTTCTTTAAGAGGTGGGGGCTGTCGGACCACGCGGTGAAAGGTTGTGCGACGGGTGACAGCTCCGGTGGACTGGGCTAGCAGCCGCGGGCGCAGTGAGGCGGATAGCGGAGCGGAGTAACAAAAAGCGAAGAGCCAAGCGGAGGGGAGAGCGGGGTAGGTGGCAGCGCAGGGAGGGAGAGCGCTGTGACGGGAGCAACGGCGAGGTGGGCGGAGAGCGACGGGGGATGATGAAGAGAAGGAAATGAACCTGGACGCGGGCGGCGCCAGGTGCATTCAACGTTGAAGGGGGAGAAGATGGACATGACGGAGGGGAGAAGCACTTACCTCGCTCGATTCTTGATAGAATCGGGCGGGGAAAAGTGCTAGATCGGGGTTTTTGGTGCTCGCGACCCCGATTCTGTGGGCGGATTTGGGAGAGAGGGAGTAGAATAGGAGGGGCAAAGATAAGTGGGTGCGTCAGGCTATGGTGAGAGTGACGAAGACAACAAGGAGGAAACGACTATCTCGCTCGTTTCCAAACGGAATCGAGAGAGGAAAGGTTCGAAATGTAGGTTTTAGAGTATACTTGGGATGAATATTTGCATTGGCTAAAGGGTCCCGTATTAAAAGCCTACTCAGGGGTTAACACTAAGAGGCGTAGGGAAGACCCTTCCCTTTCATTTGTTTTACTTCTTAAAATATTTTCTTAGTCGGACGTTAGTCCTGGGCCGGGATTCGAGGTCCTTGTCGAGGACATCCCAAGCCCTAGGCTCTACAGGAAAGGGGTTTTCCCTCACGCAGAGCCTATTTGCCTTGCCTATCGAGACGCTTAGACCAAAGGACAGAGGTCTCGCGACGGCTGCACGACTATTCGTTCAGTCGTGCAATGTCGTGAAGGATTAGATCCTCACGGCACCTCGAGTCTGACACTTGAGTGTCATAAGCGGTACCCGGATCCACGAGGGACCGCCTGACTATGGGCACTACATAGTACGCCATCGTTGCGACTGCATGCGACGCCTGCATTGCGGGTTGGTATAAGATAGGCCCTCGGCTGCGCGACTTTATACTAAAATCCCGCGCGCGACGTCCTACCGCCCTAGTGTGTAAAAGTTATGGGATTACAAGGGGACCGACACATATGGGCGAATGTTTGAAATTGTTATAGGCCGCCAACGCCGCGCGAAAGAGGGAGGGTACCCCAGGGCTATGATTTTGTGTACTAAGCGGGGAGCGTTCGGCCTATTCCTTATCGTTTGCTCTTTGGAGTTTTTTATAGTTGGACGTTATAGTCCTCGGCAGCCGTCAAAGTCAAACCCCTTGATGTTCGACCGCCACGACAGCTCAAAGCTGTCTACTCAACCCCTCTACACAGGGTGCAGAAGAGGGTGTGGTCTTCAACCGCGCATGGCGGTTGTCCAACGTCGAGAGATTAACCCTCAAGGCGCGTGTCAGCCGACACTTGAGTGTCGAATGCGACCCTCGCGATTAATGCGGACCACGTGAGTTGTGGTACCACATGGCCTGCCATCATTGTGACCGCTTGCGTACGTTTTGCATAGCAAGTCGATATGAGTGTGCCCTATGTCCGCAAGAATTTATATTAAGTCTCGCGCGTGACACCTATCCGATTTCCGTATCAAAAAGTTATGGGGCGGCTACCGAGGGGCTACGAGCGTTGTCGCATTGTTTATATTGTGTTGCCTCGTATATGTGTGTGTGGGTTTTATTATTGTGTTCGTAAAGTGGTATGCGCGTGGTGTGTGGGATGCGTCCTAGTCGACCGACGACGAGCCGCGCTTGGGACTTCAGCCCCCATGATGCCGGTTCGCGTATGGGTCCGATAGAGGCGTATTACGCGCGTACCCCCGTATGCTACAGCGAACGAGAAACGCCTTCGGCTGGTCCACCTCTGCGATTGCAACAGATTAGCTTTCGTACTGTGGACTGGTAGCTCGGCGGGGATACGCCCACCGAAGGGAGGTGACAACTCCCGTAAGGTGTAGGTAAGTTGTGCCTCGTGTAGGCCCTATCCTATCGTAGGGGCTCGCGAGAGGTATGGCTGGCGCACTCGGCCAGAGCGGCTTATGGACGCTCCATGCATATTCGCGACGAAGGATTGTTAACCAACTCCTGCGTGACGCGGCCGGGAGGGTTCCGCGTTGCCCTGGTGCGGTGCCGGACCGATGCACACGACAGGTGGCGCCGTTGCAGGGGATAGCGGAAAGCCTACCGCTGTCCCTGGTAGAACGACATCCGGGTATGAGAAGTGAATGGGAAAAAGGCATAAAGGAATGATGAGAGGGTAAGAAAAAAAGAAATGAGTGACTAGGTATAGGTGAGGAAGTTTTACCTACCTAAGTTAAGGGAAGTATGAGGGACGATCGTGTTAACATTTGGGTAAAGTAAGTACTAAGGGATGGAATAGACCGGTCGATGTGTAGTGATTAAATAAGGGGATGTGCTTGTTTTTTCTTGTCAGGGAACTTGAAAAGAAGAGGCTGTCATGATGCCTGAGACAAGCGGCGCATCGGGTGCACCTAAGAAGGGCTTGACGCTCGATGACCTCATCGCGGCCATCGACCGGCATGAAAGGAATCCAAGCAATATCCCCAAGGTCGATACCTTCCATTTTTGTGGGGAAAGAGTCTCAGAATGGCTGGAGCGGGTGGAACAAGCTCTGGTCGGGTGGTCGGACGTTGTAAAGTTTCAACGCATCCTTCAGTATGTCCTCCACAGCTACCACCCAGAAGTGAAGAAAGTTATAGATGCAACCCAAGGTAGCTGGGAAAGATTCAAAGAGGGAATGCAAAGGAAGTACCGCCTGGGAGATGGACTATTGACCACTGCAGACCTTGAGGCAATGAACAAGGAGGCTTTTACGACGATAGGGGCTTTTGTCCAAGAGTTCAAGAAGAGGGCGCGGAAGGTCCATGGGATTTCGGAGGAGGTACAGTGCGCCATCTTCCTGGGGCTACTCACGGCATCGGAGACCGTCGAGCTGACGAGACATAGAAGGGGTAGCACCAAGCTCACCTGGGCCACCATTGACAGAGGGGTGGAAGTTGGATGTTTGGACCAGGTGGAGCAACGTCAGGTATGCCTGCAAAGACAGAAGCGAAAGGAGAGAGATGCGACCGCTTCTGGGACCCCGGGAGTAAAGAGGATTGTTACTGACGTCTTGGCGTAGCTGGGGTACGCAACAGAGCCGGTGGTGCACAAAAGGGTAGTAACGACTGTCCAGGTAAAAGAAAAAGAGCCAGTGGTGGAGAAGGCCGTTGAGGAGGAACTCTTGGAAGAGGAAGAGCCAGTGTCGCTGCACCTAACGAAGGCCCAGCGCAAACTGCGTAATCTGGCGCAGGGCGGGCAAGGATCAGGAAAGGGGCAGGCCCCCCAGGCCCAGGCGGCGGCTCCTCCAAATGTAGCAGCTCCATTGTCTAGTGTGGGCCCCTCGCAAGGAGGGGCACCCTCCTATGGGCAGTGGCCCTGACCGGTGATCAATGCCATTGTGCCATGGGGCAGCCCGCAGCCAGTAGCCGGGCAGCAGATGAGTATGCCACCACCCATCTACCCCGCAGCCCAGACCCAGCCTATGGCCCCGCCGCCGTTACCCGCTCCCAGTTCACAGGGAAGCGTGGCTGGAGGTGGGAACCAGGGGCAGGGCAATCAAGGCAACGGTGGACGGGGTGGAGGAAGAGGGCGAGGCAGGAATGGCGGCGGACGAGGAGGACAATGGAATGGTCAAGACCGGGGAAACCAAGGCCAAGGGAACCAAGGCCAAGGGTATCGAGGCCAGGGGAACCAAGGTCAGGGGGATCAAGGAAGTCAGGGATACGGAAGGCCCCGTTTTGATTGGAGGTCGGCCATCTGCCAGCATTGTGACCAGCAGGGCCACACTATAAGGTTCTGTAACATAAGGCGGGAGGACGAGAAAAGCGGGCTGATTACCTCCACTATGGACGGGAACATCTATGACCAATTAGGGGAGTTCATCGACAAAAGGCTCGGGGGAGTGAGGGCAGAAGCCCAGCGAAGGGCGGCAGCCGGGCCGCTACCTCCTGCCACATTCAGACTATGGCAGGAGAAGAAAGGACCATCGGTGGGGATAGAGGGGTTCAGATTATGGCAGGAAAAGGAAGAACCACTGGTTGGGGTAGAGGAAGTGGGGAGCTACGAGGAAGTAACTCAAAAGTCGCGAGGGGGAAGCGAGGGGGAAGAGCCCATAGTCACCGAATCGGACGACGAGGATGAGGAAAGAAGGATGGAGCCATCGTTCGTCTTATTGGGGAAGATGGAGGAATTACTGGACAAGGTGGGAAGGTACCAACAGAAGTTGGTGGCCCTCTGTGAGGAAGTGAGGGAATGGAAGTCTAGCATCCCCAAGGTGTTCCTATATGACTCCGACCCGGAATCAACGCTTGGGCGAGCCGGAGTAAACGTGGTAGGGTCAAGCCCACAACCGGGGGTGATGGGGAGACCCCTCACCCGGCAGGCCCGGCTGGCACAGGCGGCGCGAATAAGGAATCAAGCCAAGGCCAGTGCCAGCCAAGAACCTCCCAGGAGGGAGCCCGAACCAGGAAGGAGGAAAGAGGTCGTGGAAATGGAGGATGACGATGATGAGGAGGAAGAAGATGAGAGGCTGCGCCGAGAAGAGGATCAGAGGGCAGAGCAGCGGGCAAGGAAAAAGGGGACCAGGGGAGAGGCCGAGTCGGTCATACGTGACGGACCACCTAAAAAGAAGAAATACGCGGTTCGGTTGGAAGAGGGGTTTGACGTAGAGAAAGTGATTGACCGGCTGCTGGAAGGGCATAATGACTTCATGACCCTGAAGGAAATCCTAGCGTCGGCCCCGCGACTCCGCGATGAACTAAAAGGGAGATTGTCGCGGCGCTTGGTGTCCAACGTCCATCTAGGTACGATCTTGCCCAAGGAGACAGAGTGGGCGGAATCGGGCACAAAAATGGATTGGAAGTGCGTGGTCTGCGGCACGGTGGATTTGGTGGTGAAGGGTTCCAAGTGCGCAGCCATGGTGGACACGGGAGCTGAAAAGAACATCATCCGGGAGGCCGATGCAATCAAGTTTGGACTGGATATAGACCGATCTGATTGCGGGATTCTGCATGGGGCCAGCTGCAAGGCCGTGTTTTGTGGGACAGTCTCGAACGTGCTCATCGAGGTTGAAAAGGTGAAAGCCAGGGCATGCTTCTTTATAATGTCGGACGTGGACCACGGGATCCTACTGAGAAGATCATTTTTGAGTAGGACAGAGACCGTGATGTTTAACAAGCATGATGGGACTCTAATCCTCCTTCTATGTGACCCTGCCTGCGGGAATTACGAGATAATTACCTGCAAAAATACAGGACCGAGGAGTATAAGGAGCCGGCCCAACCCAGGATCTTTCACGATCGAAGAATCGGAGGGCGAGCATTGAAGACTTCGGGCAGAGCTGGAAGTAGAAGAAGAGGTGAAAGCATTTTTCCTCAGTTTATCGCACGTCGAAAAAGCCATGGATTTGGTGGCCGCACATGAGGTGGCGGATCCGGATGCCATCCAGGCCTTGAGGGAGCAAGTTCTGGAATGCCCCGAGGCTGGGAGATTAGAGCTGGTATATCGTCTTCCGGATGGAAGGAGGAACCCTGCATCGGCGCAAGCACAGTCTGTGAGTCGGCCTTTTTTAGGGGACGGCTCAAGCAGGGTTCCCAAAGGCAGTACAAGACGGTAGACAAAAAGTGTCGCCCAGTGCCCGTCCTCGTTACTGAAGACGAGGAAGCATACTATAAGAGGGAGCGAGGGTTGATACGGCGAAATTCGTATCAACGAAGAGAATGAGGGGGAGTTCAACGAGGGTTCAATGAGGGAGAGTGCGCTAGTAGGGCCATGTCGTATCAACGAAGGGAATGAGGGGGAGTTGATTATAGGGGAACCAGATTTCCTGCTGCCTCAGGAGCGGACATTGATGGTGGAGTTGATGAAGAGGAGGCATCGCGCCTATGCGTTTAGTGACGAGGAGCGTGGAAGGCTGGATGTGGACAAGATACCTATGATCCGCATCCACACCGTGCCACACGAGCCTTGGAACATGAGAGGGGTGCGATATCCTAATCCTAACGAGGAAAAGAAGGTGGTGGATTACCTCGACGGCAAGATACGTACGCACGTCGCCGACTATTCGAGTGGACCGTATGCATCCCCGTGGTTCTGCTTCATCAAGCCCAACGGGACGCTGCGGTGGGTGCAAGATTTGCAGAGGCTGAATGCGGTGACCGTGCGGGATGCTGGAGGATTGCCCAATGCAGACGCGCTGTCGGAATCCTGTGCTGGAAGGCCTATAATTTCGCTTATAGACCTTTACTCAGGATGTGATCAGTTTCCAGTCTACCCGCCAGACAGGCCGGTGACGGCTATGCACACGCCGCGAGGGTTAATCCACATGAATGTGGCCCCACAAGGGTGGACCAACGCGGTAGCAATGGCCCAACGAGCCATAATTCGTGTTATGCAGTCAGTCAGCCCTCATATCACACAACCATATATCGATGATTTGGCAGTGAAAGGGCCGGCAGTGAAGGAGAGCGACGAAGTCTCGCCAGGGATAGGACCTTGAAAAGGTCCTGAGCCTGCTCGAGGAGCATAACCTTACGGCAAGCGGGGCCAAATCCAGACACTGCATGAGGGAAGCAACTATCATAGGGTTCGTCTGCAGCGAGAAGGGCCGGAGGCCGGATGTGAAGACGATAGATAAGATTACTGAGTGGCCAGTTTCGTTCCACTCAATAACTGATGTCAGGAGCTTCCTTGGTACGTGTGGATTTTGGAGGGCCTTCGTCAAGAATTTTGCTGCTAAGACTGAACACCTGAGGAAGTTAGTCCGTCAGGATCAGGAATGGGTTTGGGGTGAAAAACAGGAAGAAGTGGTGGCTAGAATGAAGGAGGAGTTTCGAGAGGGAGGGTTCGTGTTAGGAGCACTAGATTATGATGCTACGGAGACGCGACCCTTCATTGTCGAAACGGACGCGGAGCCGATTGCCTTAGGGGGAGTTTTGATTCAGGCAGACGTAGAAGGAAAGGAAAGACCCTTGCGATTTGAGAGTCGGACTCTCTGTACGACGGAGAGGAACTACTCTCGGTTCAAGAGGGAGACCCTTGCCGTCCTCCATTGTCTGCGAATCTTCCGAAACTATATCTTCGGCAGGAGGTTTATTTTGAGAGTGGATCCGACCGCCCTGACCTACTCTCTAAGGAATTACGTTCCATCGGATCCGACGGTTGCCAGATGGTTGACGTACATCTGGATGTTCAACTTCGAGTTGGAACGTATTCCTGGTAGCAAGAACCGGGCGGACGGGCTGAGTCGTATCAACTGGGATAACCAGGAAGGAGAGGCGGTGGRGAATAYGCCCCCAGTTGATGGATTTCTGGATCAGGARGAASATGTTCGTSTCCACATCAACAAGTKGTCGCCGCGAGTACCYAGCTGTRTARGCTAYCCTATCTGRCAGGCGCCGAATGGGTATGAAAGGAGGGTCGAGCTAGTCCTCAAACCCTTTGAAGAAGAAGATCCCTGGGGTGGTAAGAATGTTCAGTGGATGATGGAGCTAGCGCTGGCCAGCTCGCATAGCCTAGTGGAGGATATGAGGGTGATTGAGGAAGGGCCTGGCTAGGTAGAACGGCATGAGGACCTGATGGGAGGAATGTATCTCCTTATCAACACGTTATTACAGGAAAGCCCCGACCAGTCAGGCTCGTTGAACCCGGCAGGGAATGTGGACGAAGTGTCCGAAAGCCAGGACGACGAGTTCGAGGAGGGGGAGATTAAGGAGGCTTTTCGTGCAGAGGAGTATGACGGGATCTACCTAGAGCTGAGGCTTCTTCTGTCATATGAAATACGGCTAAGGGATGCAAGCGCTAGGGCTCAGAGAATGCTGCAGCGCTACTTAGTGCGAGACGGTCACCTTTTCGTGAGAAGAGAATGGGGAATCCCAGGAGCGTCGTTTGCGGTAGGAATCGTCATATCGACGTTGTGGCAGCGTTTCACGATGGCATTGCAGGAGGGCATCGAGGGGTACAAGCCACGTATGCCAAGATAAGTGAGTTGTACTACTGGGATGGGATGATGGACATGGTCGAGAAGTTTTGCCGATTTTGCGTACCTTGCCAGGAGAGATCCCCTTAAAGGCAAGGAGAGTCGCTGCATCCAAGGCTAGAGCGAGAGGTGGGGGTTGTAGTGCATCGCGATTTACTTTTCATGCCGCTTGGGGATCAGGGTTATAACTATATCTTCGATGAGCGCGATAACCTGTATGGGTTCGTAGACGGGCGTGCTATTCGCACAAAGACCGGGTTAGTCCTGGTGAGCTGCATCGAGAAGTATTATCTGCGCTATCCTTTCATCAGGGAATTCGTAATGGACAGGGGATCGGAGTTTACCTGCCAGGAGGTGCAATAATTGTTATCAAGGTATAGTGTAGCAACCAACTACACCACGGCCGCGCACCCCCAGGCAAATGCTCTCGTGGAGAGGGGACATAGTACCATTACGAGTCTCCTGGCTAAGTGGACCGAAGGTAGACCTAATCAATGGCCAAGATACCTAAGGGCCACGTTCTTTGTTGAGAACATTACAGTAAAAAGATCCACCAAGTACGCACCTGCGACGCTGTGGTATGGAAGGCACGCCACATTCCCTATCGAAAACTTTCTTAAGACATTGAGGCGCCAGGATCTAGAAATTAGCCTGTCATTTGAAGAGTTGCTCAAAATTCGGGCGCGGCAGATAGGGGCGATAGAAGAAAAGATCCAGGAGGTGTCTGATCAGTTGGCGAGAAGCCGTACGGATGATAAGGCTCGATGGGATCAGTCTGCGCAAGTGAGGAAAGTACCTCTGGCAGTTGGGGATGTCGTGCTTCTCTACGATTCATCGCTGGAAAAGCAGTGGTCCAGGAAACTTGATAAGAGGTGGTTAGATCCCTACCGAATCGTACGGGTTGGAGAATTCGGAGCGTACCAGATTGAGGAGTTGAATGAGACTGAGTGGAAGGATTGGGTATCTGGAATGCGATTGAAGAAATTTGTGGCAAGAGAAGAGGTAAGAGAGACGATCTGACTACCTCTAGAATAGAAGCGATATGGTATGCAGGTCAGATAGGTTGTATGTTGCATGAGTATAGTTTGGTCTGAGCTTGCTTGATTGTCACCTGTTTGCTTACCCCAATGTGTGCCTGTTGTCTCCTTTCCCCTGTTGTGCAGGTCTGACTTTCCGAAGACAGTCATGCCAAGAGGTGGGAGGGGGACACGGCCGCCTCGGAGGGCGTTGGGAGCATCAGGAGGATATGAGCGGTATGGGCCTCACCATCGAGAGAGTACTCCGGTGTACGATGATGGCGACATCGAGCTATTCCTGGACAGCTTTTGGGATCATGCGAGGCGTATGAGCTGGACCGTGGCCCACGCGATTGAGAGATTGAGGGGAGCAGGCAAGTTCGAGGAGCCCGTTGCGAGGATCCGTAGGGAAGCGACGACGAGATCAGAGGTGGAGTGGAGGATGCAGGAGCTGCGACCCTCGCCTGTGGGACCTGATGGCAGGCCGATCCGCCTGGAGATTGGAAATGCGTCGGACTTCATCCCCGCGTTTGAGTGGTTCATGCAGGGGCAGGGTATACCGAGAGATGATTGGATGCAGACACTACCACTCTGGACCAGGAAGGCGGAAAGGCCACTGGCTAGCCAGGTCAGAGACATGGCCCGGGACTGGGAGAGCTGCAAGGCGCATCTGAGAGAGGCCTTTCGACGTCCGGAGCCCCCTCAGCCCAGAGTTGAGAGGCGTCAGAGGAGTCAAAGGCAGAGGGACCCTGAGACTAGGGAGGTGCGACCATCTCGAGTAGGACGGAAGGCCCTAGCTAGGAGAGAAACGGAGCCGGAGCCAGAGGTTGAGGAGCGAGGGGCGTACCCTGAGTGTGGGTTGGGACCAGTGGAGTTCCTCCGATTTACCGCGGGAGGATTGAGGAGGAGGTCGCCAGCGCGTGCACAGGAGGAGCCATCAGCATCTGAGGGGCCCTTGAGGGATTGGAGACGCATTTGGATATCTCTCGGTGGAGGGCGTCGCCTCGGGGTGAGGAGTCTTGAGAGCAGGCAGAGGAGGTGCCACGAGAGGAGGTGCCACGGGAGGAGGTGCTACGAGAGGAGGTGCCACGAGAGGAGGTCCAGGATACTCAGCGAGAGAGAGGGTCGGGCGATGAGGGAAGACGTGCAAGGAAGGAAGTGATAGAGGTTGAAGAGGACACGCCCCCTCAGCCGCCAGCAGTAGGCTTGAGGCTTGGAGATGCACCTGGGGGCACGCGCCAGACAGGAGAGGAGTTGCAGAGAGAAGAGGTCACATTGCCTTCGTCGGAAAAGGCTCCTTCACCATAGAGCAGGGCAGAAAGGAGAAGAGAGAGGGCAACTGTAAGGAGAGAGGCCTTGACTCTGATCGACAGGCACGTAGCAGCTCATGCCCTAGAGCACCCAGACCTGGAGGAGCCAGCACCTGCAGAGCCACGCAAGGAGCCGTGCCGACCCGAGAAGGAGATGGAGGCAGAGATCCCAAAGAGGGTTGACCTCCGCACGAGGGAAAGGGCGTCAGTTGGAGAGACAGCAGAGGAAAAGAGGGCGAGAAGAACCAGGAGGATAGACGAGATATGGCAAGAGAGACAGAGGTTGGAGGCAGCGTGGGAGCTTCCGGAGCAGCAGCAGGAGAGGCAGAGATCGGAGGCAGCAGGAGCACTCCCAGGTCAGCCACCCAGCGCGCCAGCTAGGGCCCCGGAGATCCCTGAGATATGGAGGGACTCTTGGGAGCAGAGAGGAGAGGAGCTTCCTTCGCCAGTCAGAGTCGGGTTTGGGGTGGCAAAGAAGGCAGAAGAAAGGTTGGATTGCAAGATCAAGTTCCTGGCCAAGACAACTTTTGAATGACACTTGTTGTTGGAGAGCGATCTGGCAGGGAAGAAGATGAAGGAAGTCGGCCATGGAGTACGCCTGGAGGCTATGGAGGTGGAAATCCAAGAGCTAAGGGCATTGGTGGCCAGTCAGGCAGCCATCATCGAGAGCCTGAGGCAGCAATCTCAGGGAGAAGTGGACAAGCCAGAGAGCAGCCAGCAGGGGGAACAGAGGCAGGCAGGGCATGAGTCAACAGAGCAACCTGCAGCAGAGCAGCCACGCCAGAGATCGCCCATGGGGAGAGTCATCATGGAGCCAGAGGAGGCAGAGGCCAAGAGGGAAGCAGAGAGAAGAGCTTTTGAGTTTAGGACTCCTACAGAGCTCAGCACTCTGCCTATTATGCCCGCAGAGCCTGTTTTGCCCATACCAGTTGAGGAGGTTTTGCCAGCGATTAGCAGTGGGCCGGCTCAGGGCTCAGCTGGAGAGTCCATGGATGTACTCTTAGAGGCGATAGATACCATGCAGGAGGAGGCGAGCTTGTTCTCACCTGAGCAGAGATTGGACGAGCTTCTGGAGAGTGCATTGAGATTTGAGACCAGGGATGCTGCTGAGGGCAGGCCACAGAGATTGGACCCACCTGAGTATAGGCCAGAGGGGGTTGGGATTCGATCGCAGTCGAGTACTCAGGAGTTGGAGAGGAAGCCTGAGGGGCCCTCGGACTTGCCTTTGAGTTTTGAGCTGAGCAGGGAGGCTAGCGAGGCACCATCCTCGCCTGGATCTCAAATGGGGAAGAAGAAAGGAAAAAAGAGGCATGATGATTCCTGCTTCTATTGTAAGAAGGAAGGTCACAGAGCATGGGATTGTCCTAAGTTCCAGAAGAATGAGGCCGATGGGAAAGTGACTAGAAGGAATGGGAAGATGTACGATAGGCAGGGGAGAGTAGTAGAGAGATCTCAAGATGGAGGTAGGGCTCAATTGTATAGGCAGAACCAGGAGGAGATGAGTGAGTAGGGCTGGCCTACCTATATGATTGACATGTTGTACATAGGATCTGAGTTTAGAATGGAGTGTCATCTTTTAGATTCAGATAGTTGTTTGTACCTGATAGTCGCTTTGGATTTGGGTTTCTGTTGGATTGTCATCTTGAGAATCAGGACTTGATAGATGAGGCATGTACATATTTAGGTGGCCTACACCCTGACTTTTGAGAGACAGTTCTGACATGTACTTGGAGGATAGTTGTGAGTGTCAGAGTGGTTTGATTTTGAGTTGAGTGAGTTGTGATCTGGAGACACTTTTTGTGTGAGACATTTTATCCCTGAGTGTATATTATGACGATACTTTTTCAGGGGTTATTCTCTATATATGGCGATCGCTTGTCTCGCTCACATATGTGGTTGTACTTGGTGCATGATGGATTTTTGTAGACAGTGTGTGAAAAGTATCTTATGTATCTTGCATATTGTGAATGTGATGATAGGCAAACTAACTACTCCTCGGTATACTTATGCGATATGCCCTTGAGCAGAAGATGAGGCAGGGTATAAGGGGAGGTAGTGCAGTTCGCATTTATGAAGAGAGATGCAAAGATTTCAAATGTTCATATGGCTTGAATTGTGTAGGATGGACCCATAAGTTGGTCTTTCAGTTTGATTGTTTATGGGAGAGTTCATCCTAGAGAGAGAGGGATGGCTAAAAAGACCTATTGAAGAGAGACCTCATTTATATAAGGTGGTTAGATGGTAAATTATTATGATTGATAAAAGACTGACGAGAGGGACCAAAATTTTGTTTGGTTATTGGTGAGATTTTTTGGATGTCGCAAATGGTTCATTTTTGGGAGATGACACCGAGATGTGTAGCTTTCTTGCTCTGATCAAGAGGGGAGGTCATGGCCTGGTGAACCTGACGGTGATTTTGTTTGTGATCGTGAAGAGGTTGCCGTAACTTTTGGTGCTGTCCCACCAAGGGCTGGTAAATACCTTTTAGTTGTGACAGGTCTATGCGTAATCCCGCAGTAGGTCTGTATTGTTGCGATACCCCGTCAGTCACTTGTGCTAATCTTGGGCATTTATGAGAGACCCAGCTAGGGGTATAACTAGCATCACTAGGGCGCAACCCCTAGTGTTGGCCGCTGTTTGGCATAACCTGAGGAGAGGGTCTGCGTCTTGCCAAGGGGATAGAAGACTTAAAGGGGCGTAAACGCCTAGGAGGGTTTCTATTCCTGCGGAAGGGCGTGGGATAAGAGTCGAGTCATGTGGGTCTTTGTGAAAAGAGTCCTGATTGATTGCTTATCAGGAAAAGCCTACCGTGGCGTTACCCGCGGGGGCACTTCTGTCAAATAACAACACGGTGGGCCGTAGATCTGGCATGATCACCCAGACTATGGTGGGTCAAGATGGCGACCTAACCTTCTTGTACTAGACTGCAGGAAGGATTGATGTGAAGATTTATGTGGTGTATGCGAGCCTGATGTGAAAATGTTTTGGAAGGAAGGCGAAAAAGTGTCTTCGAAGGTCTAGGTTAGGGCCCGCGTCCCTAGTCATGACTTTGTTTTACAAGGGAAGGGCTAGGAACACACAACGAGAGCGCGGCGGTTGTCTAGGGCAAAGGGGAGGGGACAGTGAGAGATCCATTTGAACTTATGCTGTAGTATAGTGAGGAGTATCCTGGCCCCCGAATGTCAGGACGACGGAGACGCAGGTTAGAATCCTGGCAGCATAAATTGGCATGGATTATTTGAGGCCTCGAACCTGAGTCTGTCGATCAATCGGATTGGTACCCTGCTCGTCAGCATTTTTGGAATGGGATTGAATTGATAGCTTTTTTATTCTGCGAAGCGACGGGCACCGCTTAATATGGTCCGGTAGGCTGTCGGCGCGAATACCCTTACAAGGGTATCCGCCCTGGTTTTTGCAAGTGAAAAAAAAATAATAATAATAAGTTTAGTTGAAGTTTGAGTAGACCGCAAAAACTGCAAGTTGCCGTTGACTGAAGGTTTGACTATAACATCCGAAAATAGAGGTTGTGTGGGCGCGCAGGCTTAAGGCGCGCGTGATCTTTTTCTTTGATCTTGATTGTAAAACCGGCACGGACTCTGGTTGTTTATGTTATTATAAATACTATTTCTGACTAAACCAAGATTTAGGATTATGGTTGACGACCCAGAGTAACCTTGCGTCGAATCCATATGATGGGACCTGATGGATACGACTAAGTAGGGGTAGCCGTGGCACGGTCGGTATGGCCGGCGCGGGCTTTTTTTGTGGTTGCGTAAGTAGGCGTAGGCGAGAGAATACTGCGGAGCACTTTGCGGCCCTGGACGGCCATGCTGTTACTGTTGTACCTCTTTATTTAGGAATTCGGGCATGTTGGTCTTAGGCTTGGGCTTAGCCCTATTGGTTACAGTACTGGATTGACACGGCAGAGGTCTTGGGGTCGAGGCCAGCGAGCGTCGGCGTCGTAACTGAAGCGGAGCATGAAGAAGGGAACCAACGGGGTTGAGGGCCGCAGGGCTATCCCCCTCGACTTTTGCTAACGGGCGTGGCGGCGGGCCCAATCCACGGGACTGGTGAGGAGCCAACA